TATGGTTCATGGGGTCACGAAGAGTCGGACACGACTTAATGACTAAACAACAACAACATATTGAATATATTCTCCTGAGACAACTAATTTGCACGTATTCTTTGGAATATCGTTTCCTTATCTCCAGGGCGTGAATACTCTGTTTTGCAGCTATAGAAACAGGGAAACCCTTTTTAAGATGTTTTATTTTCTGACAAACTAGCATCCCTACCAACTGGGTCTGTGACAGCTGTTGGCAAACCTTGCCAGTCCAGGGGGCTTCTATGAAATGGCGAAGGTTGTTAGCAGCAGCAAAGAGACCTGTCAGTAGTTGCTACTTGGCCTAAATAACTAAATCAATACATTTTGGGGGCCTGTGGTTCCTGAGGGTTTGATGCATAGCCTATATTTGAAGGGCATATCCTGTCCTTTGTAACTGCAGCAGCAGACCTCATTTGTTCTCTGATCCCATGCCCTTGGGTTCTCTGTACATTAGGGTCTTAGGAAAAGTTGCTATTTTATTCCATAAAAAAGTCTGTGTTTGACGATCACTCTAAATGTTTATACATCAACGTTTTGGAATCTTTCCAAATTGTTTTTTTTTTAATGTAAAGCTATTGAAATGTAAGTTTGTTATTGTCAGCCTCTGTTTAAAGAGAATAATGCCATGCAATTTCTGACTCAGGTTTCTGGGGAAGGCAGTTGCTGCTGTTACGGATCAGCAGTTTCCTTTCCTGCAGAAGGAGAGATCCACTTAGAATAGAGATAATGGAGACGATTACTTGCCGGTCCTTTTCCCTGTGCTGAACTGAAGGGCCATTCACCCATTCCTGAATCAGAAAAGCATACCCACTTGAAATGCATTGTCCTGTTGTTTATTTATTTGACTTATATGGCCACCATTCCTTGTGCAACTCTGAGTGGCTAACAGTCCATTAAACAGAATCATACATATTTAAGAATAATTAAAACAACACATCCCACTAAAAATTATTCATAAACCACACAATCATGTCCCTGAAGATGAGCTTACCCAGCCCAAGGGAAGAATCAGGTTGTATGAAATGCGAGCAGGGTTGGGACCATCCAGATCTTGGGGTATGTGCTCCTCCATATGCTGATGTCTGTATGCCTCTGTTGTCTTTCTTCCTACTCATTTCCAATTGCTTCACTTACCTCCAAGGAAATGGGTGACAAAGCATAAAAGATTTTATGTTTACAGCTTGAGGTTGCTCTTGGATAACACCAGGTTGGGGTGGAGGGTAACATTACTTTAATACTAGTATGCCTAAAGATGATTTAAAGCTGTTTTCCTTGTAGGCTGGGGATGAAATGAAAGCAACGTTATGGGAATATGGCAGAAAACAGATTTTCTGAGCTTATGTTTGTGCCATGGTTAGGCACAAGTGGGGAAAGGCCTGCAGTCTTTCATTTCAGAGAGAAAGATTTTAAAAAGTAAAGAGTGAGGGCTACAATGAAAAATATTGACACTTTGTTCCTGCTTTCCTAGGAATAGTTCTGGACTCTGGAGATGGTGTGACACATAATGTACCTATCTATGAAGGCTACGCCCTGCCACATGCTATCATGAGACTAGATCTGGCTGGTAGAGATCTCACTGACTATCTCATGAAAATTCTTACAGAGAGAGGATATTCTTTTGTTACTACTGGTAATCAGCACTTTTCTTAAACCTGCTTTGTTTGGTCATAGTATCACTCATAAAAACAGCATAATGTGTTACCTGTCTTTTCTCATCATAAGGTTTTCATTAATCTGTATCAACTCAATATCACTGGAAAACCTAAGCACTGTTTATGTTTTAGATTAACCAAAGTTGTTCATGACCATTTTCATTTCAATACTTAAAAGAGGTTGACAACCAAAAAGCAAGGTACCTTCTATTGTCTGGTAAAGTGAAATCCAAGCTCAAAACCTTGAAGCAAAAATGTCTAATGGTAACCTGTCAAACACCCTTTCCCTGCACCAGCTTTCTGAAAGCACCATTTAGTCTAACCTTCATCCATACAACCTGAACTTCAGCCCCACAAGATCTAGCTAGTGTGCTTTGGCCATTCTGGGAGACAGGTCAAGATGTCCATGCAGTTATCAGATGTCAAGGCTGACCCAGTGGAACCTGTCTTAGTCCACGCAGAGGGAGGTAAGGCTTGAAGAGCCGCTCATCTTCAACCTGGAAGAAAAAAACGTTAAATGAGGAAAGGAATTGAAATTATGTTAGACGTTTAGGAGATCCACCACTAATAATAACATGTGTTATTGACACATAGCATGATAGGTCAGCCCCAGATCAAGATTTGTCAGCTATCCATTATGAGCCACAGAAAATAAAAGTGGGATCTCATTTTTAAAGCTTACCCACCTTATAAAGTGATTTCTGATATTCTTTTATGTGATTGAAATGTTTCCAAGTAATTCAATGCTCAGCGTTGCTGTTTTTAAAGTAATCACATTAGCCTACTCTCTCAAGTCATTTTCATGGTTTCTGAAAGAACACCAAGCTGATACTTGAGGAATTAGGGCAAAACACTTTAGCACTTGGTGCTTAAGCTATTTTATAGTGTACTTAAGAACTGCTTACTCTTGTCACAGAAGCACAAAAACTCTAGATTAATGGTGAAGTTTGACTATGTCAAAGTTCTCCAACCTCGTATCCTCTAGATGTGTTATCATTACAGTGCTTAAAATCCTGGAGAACCTCAGTTAATTATTTTTAGTAAATAAATAAATAAATAAACAAATTATTAATCTTTATTCACTTTTTATCAATTTTTAAGGCAGGTAGAATGTGTGTATATAGTAATATTAGCAAACCTATTAATGTCAACTATAATTTGAAAATTAAAAATCAATTTGATCATTTCAGGCTAATTTACATATGTTACTTTAAAGACTCATTTTAAAAATATTATTTTATATAACAATTTCATGGGATTATTAAATAATTTCAACAAATAGGTTGATAGGTTTTATTCATATTTTATTCATGTTAATGACAATAGTATTACAATATAGTCTGATTATGTTTCGTATAACTTCATAAATTAATGCTCCAATCTTCTCTGTATGTGGGGATAAGTCTCATTGAACCCAGTAGAGTCCAGCAATGCAGTACAACAGCAAATTGTGTTCAGTCAAGGATAAGTATCATATAATGAATCCTATATGGGATTTCTCATAGTAAGAAAAGTTGATCACAATTAATCAAGAGCCCTTCTGAGTCATCTTACCTCTCCTTGTTTTATGTTTTTTTAAATTAATTTTTATTAAAAGTTTTTACATAGGTAAAAGACAAATACAGAAGTATATAAGGAAAAGAAAGAAAAAGAGAAAAAGAGAAAAGAAAAAGTTCAGAAGAGAATGCAGTTAAAGAAAGAAAACATAGTTAAAGAAGGAACTTCTGCTCTTCTTTACAGAGTTACAAACAAACTCATTATCCCTTCTCCCTCTTTAACATTACAATAATCCCTTCATTCCCTTATTCAATCTTTTTTCAATTGTCCTCCTTGTTTTATGTTTGTTTGGTTATTTTTAGCGGAGCGTGAGATTGTGCGAGATATTAAGGAAAAGTTATGCTATGTGGCTCTGGATTTTGAGAATGAAATGGCTACTGCTGCTTCTTCATCTTCTTTGGAGAAGAGCTATGAACTTCCAGATGGCCAAGTCATCACAATTGGCAATGAAAGGTTTCGATGCCCTGAAACTCTCTTCCAGCCATCCTTCATAGGTAGGCCTGGACTTGTTCCTCTGTTCTGTGTGGCCTGCCTCTCCTAAACAAAGATGAAGTTATGTTGTGCACAACTACTGTATGTTTTAAGTGTGCTAAAGGTCTAGAGTTTTCAAAAAATAAAAATAAAAAATGCCTTTGGGTCTGATCTTATGTTGACATGAGTATTTGTAGATTACTCAGATGGACAAAAGGGATGGAGAAGTTTATTTGCACACATCCATGTAGACAGCTGGGATATAAATTCTGTGGCCAGTTAATCATGTTAGCAGATACTTTTGAATAAGGTTCTGGTTGATAAATAAAACCTGGATGTTTGGATAAGTGTTACACTTAAAAATCATACACTTGGCTGAACAACTGGAGTAGATTATAAAACGATATATAGTCATCTGTTACATTCTTCATCTATATTTACCACCAACTTAAAAACAAAAAGGAAAGTGGTCTGTCTTGAAATTCTTGATCAGTTAATTTTATTTCTTTACAGGAATGGAATCTGCTGGAGTCCATGAAACAACTTATAACAGCATAATGAAATGTGATATTGATATCCGTAAAGATCTTTATGCTAATAATGTGCTTTCTGGAGGAACTACCATGTATCCTGGTATTGGTGATCGTATGCAAAAAGAAATTACAGCACTGGCTCCAAGTACTATGAAAATTAAAGTAAATATTATGTTTAATATTGATCTAACAGATATCTTAATAATATATTCTTGAAGTATTATCTAGAAAAAAAAAGGCAATTTAAGATTTAAGAGTACTATTTTCAGATATTATCTGGCTTCTGTTCAAAGAAACAAAATACAGCTCAAGTAAAAGGTTTTATGAAGAAAGATGCAGATATCAAAGATATAGAAATCAGAACCAAAGACATACAGTAGATTCTCTTGTTAGGGCTATCATATCTGGGCTGCAAAAAATCAGATGACAACTAGATGGCGGCAACACAATCCATAAAAGCCAACTCTTGCTGCCATCTAGTGATTTTCAGGAGGTTTGCACCCAGATCTGATTGCCCCACCAAATTTTACCTTTTGAAATTAAGAGAACCTTCTCATTAGACTTAAGCAATTTCAACTGAATTTAACAGAGGTGGATATAGACTGAATATAACAAAGGCACCTTAAATCTATTAAACTAGGTAACAGAGATTTATATTGATCCCAACATTAAAAAAAATTGCATTATGAAGACTCAGTGATGCATCACTGTTAAAACATGGAATATTGCCTTCTGCATCACCTAAAACATATGTAGAGGTTAAATGTCATTAGGAAGAAGTATGTGTATGCCTGCTGTCCATATACTTCTTCCCAATATGTTAATATGTTGTTGGGAGTTGGGCGGCATATAAATTTAAATTATGTGTATATCTCACAGAGAAGAGTGAATATTCTATCAACTCCTCACTACAGCACCTTCAGAAAATCAAAGATGTACACATAGATGAAGATGAAATTATGGCCTCATTTGCTGTCACAGCACTCTTTACATCCATAAACCCAGAACTAGTGAAAGAATCCATGTCAGCAGTACTACACA